AGCAATTGGGTAAATATGCGTACTAACCATTGATCGAGAACCTGGTAAGGATCTGATCAGAACTTTCGGATTTCGGATCGTCGATCTCCATTGCAGACATCTCACTCTCCTTCTNCCCCATTAATCCACAGAATTCAGAGTTAACACCTCTCTGACCAAAAACGATAAACAAATTGAGGACTTCGTAGGAAACGAACGAGGAGAGAACAAATACGGCAAACCTGGAGAGTAAGAGATAGGCCCAGGCCCAGGTCCGTGCCTACGTTTGGAAAAAATGAAGCTTGGGCCTATAGCCCATTTTGAAATAAAATTTTAATGAACATATAAATTTCTGAGTATAGTAGCTTGAAAAATGTTAAATGATTATAACTCGATCTTTCATAATAATCTATAGCTACCATATTAAAAATTTCATAATGTTTTTTATGATAAAAAAGTATAGATGTCGTTCAGAGAACTATGAAATCATGGTAAGTTACCAATGAGATCATGGTTTAAAAATACACAAATTCACTTTGAAATATCCGAAAACTAGACAAATTTGTAGATTATTGCATGATTGATATCTGTTTTTTTGCCGAGTTTTGACTAGTTGTTCAACTAATAATATAAGATAAATGGTTGGTATACCTTATATATTTGACATTATAATTGTAAAGCCAGCTTAAATTAAAATAAACTACATTTGCCATCAATTTTTTTGTATGACATCTCATCAATCTTTTTAAAAAACTAAAAATATTTAACGTTCTTGGATTTTGACGCCGTAAGTTAGATATGTATCATGGGTTAATATTGATATGTACCTTTGAAATACACAGATCAATGCAAATTGGAAGCAGAAATAGCACAGAGCAATAAAATATTATGGAGTGTTAATGATAAATATGAATAGATGATAAATAAATAGACCGACGAAAATCTATACAGATAACGGATCTGGTGAAGAGACCGCGTGGACCATATTTAACAACCAAATAATTCAAAAATCATTTATAATAATATTTAGTTTAATTATCCAATCATATCTTAAAAGTTTATTTAATGTTCCATAATTCCATTGGTTATTGCTTCTGTCTTGATGTTCTGTTCAATCGTGTTCTTCAAGATTTAGCACGTGAACCCTTATACTATTTATTTTCATGGACTATTGGTTTGATCATTTAAGCAGGTTAAATCAATATCACAAATTTATTCTGCAGTAAAATTTCATAAATAGTACAACTTACAATAAAATAGAACAGCAAATGATTGTCATAGACAAAAAGAAAAAAAAATATAAATTTGTTTTTTAAAACTATTATATGTACTTGAAGGAATTAAAATATATAAACAGAGTATAAATAGATGCTCTCTTACCAATAATCTCATTCTCAAGTTTTGAATATCTTTAGATGTTAACTTAAGTATC